ACTGAAATAAGCTGCGGAAATCTGAACATTCAAAGTAGTTGAAATTTCAACACTCAAAACTCCTGTTCTGAACAGTAGGCTACATGGAGATTAGAGTTAAGAGAAGCTTTGTGTCTTCATGTTTATTTTTGTTTCTTCTGTACAGTAAGTTGAGGACTGGGATCTGTTTTTAAGTGCAGAGTTGTCACTGAAGATGCATTTCTGAGGGGGAATTTTTTGTAACCTTAGTTGCCTTAGCTGAGTGTATCTTGGGGAAGGACAGTGCTACAGGAAAAAAAAAAAAACCACGACAAAAATTCAGGTGGCATTCCAGGTATTAGAAAATGAAGTATTTTCCATCTCTGATATCACACACAAGTTGCTGATGTGTGCTGCTGTCTTTAGAAGAGAGCATTTGTCTGCACATTTTTAAAGCTGCTTGCACAAGAAGCATTGAAATTGTTGCAGGCCAACAGGATACCAAAACAGATCAAGTCTTGTGTTCACATGCACTCTGTGTATGTTGATCAACGTTTTCACATAGGCATAAGTTACTCTTGCTTTTTATGCTGTTAAATAGTAATTTTTATTCTTGTAAGAAATTTTTCTTGAAGTCAATTCTGAAAAGTAAGACACGTTTCCTAGTTTCCTTCATGACTTGGTTGTGCTCCAGTTTGCATTAATTTGTGCTAAGGTTGATGAAATGATCAGATTGACAAAGATGCTTCAAAGCCAAATGGAGAGAAAGGTATTCTAGAGAAAGGGGTAATTTTCTGTTGCAACTGAATGACTAGACAGTTAACTAATTGCTGATGGTAAATTAATTTGAGTTGTTCTCTAATTTATAAATTGAATTTAATAAAATATAAAATTTTATATATCTTTGTTTTTATAAATGGAACTCAGATGTTGCCTGGAAAACACGTATGTTCTTTCTAGGAGGAAGATGTGGTATCTGCCCAGCAAAGAGAAGCAGCATCTGACAAACTCCTGCAACAATTGCAGTCTAGTATAAAACAATTAGAAACAAGGTAAAGACATGTTGTTGGATGTTACTAATGGGATATGTCCAAAAACAAAAAAGCCAAATGGGAACACAGCTCTGGGACCTTGCTTTCTGTGAGCTTAGTTTGAAAGAAGTATAGCTCTTTAGTTCAGCTTTGTATGGTTAAATGAGTAAAATTACTCCTTTGTTTCAGATTACATGTTAGTGTCCAAGATGGTGAACAAATGAGAACAGAAAGAACAGCCCTGGAGAAACAAATCAGAATGCTTCACACAAAGTGTGCTAATTTAGAAAGGGAAAAGTATGAAGCAGTTGCAAGAGTCCAAGATTGCGTACAGCTGTTAGAAGAAGCTAACCTGCAAAAGAGTCAGGTAAGTCACGAGTGAGGGCATTTCTTAGAGGTCAGAAAACTTGCATCACCTGCAGTTACAAAGTGCCCATTTATGTACATGTAGAGTTATACACACACAGACAACCAAATTTCTTTTATGTCTGCTGTACTGAAATGAGTAATGCAGAACAGAGCAAACTTAGGATACGACCACACATCATTTAGTTTTGCCATACAGTATAAATCTTAGTGAATATTCAAAAACAAATTGGGCTGTAGTAAGATATTTTTAGCTTTACGAGCACTTCCCCAAAGCCTGTGTATGAGGAACAAGGTAAAAAAAAAAAATTAAAAAATTCCCAGAGTTTAAAAACAAGAAAAACTTTGATTTGAAAAGCATTGGTAACATGTATAAATCTCATTTTCAGTTAGCTGTGTGTTAGAACATCAGAACAGTGCTCTTCATACTGTTTTTGACAGAAAGAAGTGGCCAGACTAAAGTTATGGTGTAAATAACGTCTCTGAGGTGCTTAGTGAGCATTTAAGATAATTAAGATAAATAACAGTCTCATTATAAACAACAATTCAGTGTTATGCTCTAGGAGGAAAATTCTGAATTTGCAGGCACTTGCTAATTTATTGCTCTGTCTATTCATCCTTCATTTTGCAAAGTGGGCATTTTATGAATTAACAAACAACAGCCTAATGCATGCAGTTAGTTAACTAAACTGTGGCCTCTCTGGTCTGTAAGAGACTATATGAGGGACTAAAAGGTTGTCACAATAATGCTAACATGCTAACATTGTGAAGCACCTAAGCTAAGCTTACAAAATGAGATCAGAAGAATTCTAAGAGTACTTTGAGAAACACAACACAAACTGAATGGGAGCAGTTAAAGAGAATGGGACACATGAACTGTAATGTCATGACCGGAGAACCTTCTACAGACTGAAATCAGATCTCCTAGTGACCTTTTTCTCCTTTTATCCCTCTACACGACACCTGTTCTCTGTGCCACCTAGGATTTTTCATGTCTTTCACCAGGAGTTATGTATTTTTAAAATTTTTCCAGACCAGCATCTTCTATTCAACAGTTGTGCCTTCATCCTCTCCTGAAAGGGTTCCTTATTGCACTTTTTTTTCAATAACTCTTGTACAATCAATAAGCATATAGAGTTTTAATAAGATTAAGTAAAATAATCTAAGTAAGATTATTGCCACAGGAAGATAATAAATGGAAAATGCTTACCAATGTTGTAGATTCACAATATTCTCCACAAGGAGAGATCTCTTGGAAGACATCTTTCCTCAGTGGCACTCAGTACTTAATTTAGGAGAGGTGGAACCACTCTCCATCCCTTCTGATAGCACAAGTGAATTACCTCCCAGGGCTGACTCACTGCTTGCCACAGGTGGTCACTCAGAGTTGAGTGATTCAGCAGTTCCCATACAAATTCCCGCCATGCTGGCATACCAAAGAGCTGTTTGGTTCACTGTTATCCACCGTGAAAGAGTTTATATATGCATTTCTTAGCTGCTTATGAATTTTTACCTTCAGTTTTCTGGGAAGTAACTGACTTAGTCTATCGACTACAAAAAAAAAAAAAAAAAAAAAAAAAGTGCTCAGCTCTATCTAGGAAAACATGCTTCTGTACATGTATTCTAATTCTTAACAGAGATCTCTCTGTGCCATTTCTGTTCTTGCTTTCCTGTATGGTCTTGGTGTCAGCTGCTCTAAAGCACAAGGCAGAAAGTTCTTCTGAACACCTCTTACGTGTGGTTTCTTTCCTTGCTGCTAGGTATGATGTCACAACTGAAGTATTATCAGTAATATTTCTGTTCTTATTTTTGTTTAGGCACTGTTTAAGAAGAAACAAAAGGAAGAGGAAATAAAGAAGATGAAAGATGAAGTATTTCAGATCACAGAAGATACTGCTGCAAGAACTAGGAAGGCAGTAAGTGATGATGTTTAGAAAAAAACAACTATGAACTTAGAGTTAAAAGTTACATCATTATATATGATGTGTGCTCACATCAGCAGTTTTCTTGTGATTTGATAATGTAAGTAGGTAGGGCAGTACACTGACAGCATTATGCTCTTTGGCCTTACCATCTAGATAGGTACTCTGCCAACCCAAATGATATTCACACACCTCTCATGAACCAGAAGCACTGCTGTCTATGCAGATACTGCTGTAGAGAAGGTGAAGATGTGGCACTTAATTCAGAAATTCTGTTCAGTAGCATGTGGTCTCATCTTGGAACTTAGTGATGCTTTTTGTATACATTCAGGTGATAAGAATTGTTGAGTTATAAGATCAGATTTTTGTCATCTCAGTCCTTCAAAATACACCTCTATTTAGACAAATAAGGCTCTTCCATGAAGTACAGCTAAATCAAAAAAACCTCAGTATTGCAGCACGCTTAAAAAAAAAATAATAATAATCAGAATTTGGTAGAGAAGCTACAAAATTTTATAGTTATCTGTTTTTGTAACATTCGTTATTCTCACAAGTGGCTGAAAATTAGGAGCTCCTTGATAACAAACTACTGACAAATGAATTTGCTCTCTGTTGATGTCCCATCTGCAGTTAAAATAAAGCTAATCATATCTCCTTGGAGATTCTTAACAATTATCCACATGTCAAATGGACTTGTAAGGCACACTGGAGAGGAAGTCTTCTTATATAAATGTGAAGCCAGTGTCTTTTGTTGCAAGTCGAAAACACTGTAAATCAGTTACCTGGCCTGTAATTTTTCAGAGGTGTAATTGATTTTGCCTCCTTTAACTTTCTTCATTGTGATACAAGCCCGTTATGAAAGGATTCATAATCAATAAAGATTTTAAATATTATATACATTTTTGAACCCTTTAAAATGAGGCTGATTTGTTCCTTCTCCTTAGTGATTATCCAGACAAGGAAAAAAAAAACCAACCACCCACAGAGTTGTGTGGATTACTTAAAACTGCAGTATTTCATGTCACACATGGTTTGGTGCAGGCACATGAGCCACAAAGCAAATAAGCACTGTCTATTTGTGACAGTGCTGCACTAATCGGAATGTAGAAATTCAGACATTTCTCCTGTTTCGTATTTCATGTAATCCCAGTAAAAGAGAATCTATCAAAAGCATAAAGAGTAAAATGTTAAGCACTGTCATATTCCTCTAGGAGTAACAAATATTTCCTTTTTTACATGTTCAGTTACATGAGATTCAGATATCTTGCTCCCAGTGAATGGCAGCTTTCTAGTAGTCTTACTGTTCTTTTTTAAGACCTTGTTGTGATTCTTTCTGCTTTTTTTCTAAATACTCTCAATTAAAGTAATATGGATTGATAACATTCATGTGGTACCATTTGTCAGCTATTACAGTCTCCTATTTTTGTATACAAGCACCACACATGTGCAAAGCATATTTGAGCCTCAAGTTGTGTTGGTGAGATTTAGATTGTACATGAGGAAGAAGCTCTTTGTGGAAATAGTAATTAGGCATTGGAACATGGAGGAGGCTGAGTCGCCACCCCGGAGGTATTGTGGACGGTGGTGTGGAGGATGTGTGGAGTGGTGCTTAAGGACACTGCTTAGTGGTGGAATTGTAGTGATAGGTGAATAGTTGTAACTGATGATCTTAAAGGTCTTTTCCAATCTCAATGATTCTGTGATTCTGTAGGTCAAAATGGGCTGGAGAAATAGTTTGCAATATTAATCATTCCATTTTGCTTTGCTTTTTGACCACAGGTAGACTCTGCGAAGAAACAATATAATGTGCAGATCTCTCAATTAACAGAAGAACTTTTAGCTCTTCATCTGGTACGGTATGGTTGACTTTTGAAAATGTTTGCACTAGCAAAACATTTGAGAATATAGTTAGTCAAGTTGAATATTTAATTAAATATGAAAGTAAGTCAAGTAAAATCCTACATAATATTATTAGCAGTTTGGGGAAGAGGGGTTCTTAGTTTTAGACGAAGAGGTTTGATATACTTTCTTTAAACTTGTGTTTCTCTTTATTGTTAAATAGAAGTTACTGGTGATTAGTTGCAAATAAGCAATCATAGTGTTTTTCTTTTGCAATTCTAAAATGCTTTTATGTGCATATGCAGGTCAATCACGGTAGGCTTGGGATACTTTTGTCTTGGCCCCTTTGAGAGGTTTAACTAGAATTGCTTTGTTTACAGTGTTTTCTGGAAGGAATTGTGTCTAAATTTGTATTATGGCCGGTAGAAATATTTCTGACTGCACAAGAAACTTTCATTCCAGCCCCAGCAGTCTAACAGTTTCCTGCACACACGGTGTGCTAACAGGCACCGATACTGTGTAGCCCTGGTGTTTCAGGCACACTTAGAAGATACAAGGATGTGAGTTGCAACTTTC